ACATAACAATTCTTTGGGGCTCAGAACTGGGTGCTCTTTCCTCTTTCATCTCTCTCATTAATTCCAGTGGGGTTATGTACTACCTGTATGCTGATGACTCCAAAATTAATAACACCAGATGGACCCTTGCAGTCTTCCTTGATTCTTTGTCTTTAACCATTAGAAACTCTCCTTCCTTCTCTCTCCAAGTGATATCTCAAATCTATCCTCTGCCTATTTCCACTGCCAGCTCTGTGATTGAGCCCTTTATTACCTCTTACTCAAAAGTTTTCCAAGCACAGTATTTTCCCTTTCCAATCCATTTTTGATTATTAGCAAAGTACTCCTGCTTAAAACCTTTCTGAGTTATTTGTTTTCTTTGTGAAGGCCTACAAGGTGTTGTGTGGTCTGGACTCAGCTTCCCTCTCCAGCTTTATCTGGCACCACTGTTCTCCTTGCAACTGTTCTTGTTACTCCACTTTGAAGAAAACTCGAAGATTTCTCCTATAATATCATAACAAATCATTTTCAATGTACTTCCTGTTTTTCTACCTATACTGCTCCTTCTTGGTATACCCTGGCCAGTATATCCAAGAATCCAGCCTTCTCTACCAGATTCTTCAAGCCTAGACACCTTCCTTAGTCTTCCTCCCTTCCCACCCCTCTGCCCACATCCACACAATTGCTAATGCTATCAGTGTCCCCACCCCCAAATATTTCTGCTTCTCCCAGGCCTCCAGCTATTTCTTGCTTTCTTCAGGAGAGGCAGGACCCTACCCACTCCTTAACCCATTCTCGTCACTGCAGGGTGATGTTTGTAAAAACATCTACTGGCTCATGTCATTCCGGTCATTTCCCACTGCCCCTAGGATAGAATTCCAAGTTCTTAACTTGGCCTATGAGGCCCTGCATACCTCCATGGATTGAATTCTCACCACCTTCCTCCAGCCCTTCAAGTTTCAGCCCAGTGGTTCTCAAAGTGTGGTTCCCAGCCCAGCAACACCAGCATTACCGGGAAACTTGTCAGAGATGCAGATTCTTGGGCCCTGCCCCAAATCTACCCAATCAGAAAAACAGAAACTCTGGGGGTGGGGCTCAGCAATCTGCTTATAACAAGCCCTTCAGGTGGTTTCTAATCCCTCAGCTTGAGAACCGCTACTCTGTCCATCCTGGACTTACTCGTTTTGGTTCTAATTCCCCAGTTCTTTGTAGATGCCCTGCCATCTTTCTAGGTGTATTAACACCCTTTATTCTGCCTAACTCCTCCTTCTCCTGGTCATATACTCTGGTAAGTTCTTATTGAATCAAATAATGTCACATGTTGGATCCACCTTGAGGTGTAATCCAAACTAGAGCCACTTGGGCCAAAGAATATTGGTGAGGGCTCCCCTGAAGAGAGTTAAAGTGGAAGATTAATCTGGTAAGGCCCTTTCTGGCAAAGCATGACCCCTTAACACTCCCGCATCCACTTAGTGCTTGTATAGTGCGACCTCAGGCTGGTTTGCCCCTGGTGCTCCCCACTGCTAAACACACCCAGCACAGCTGACTCCCAGCACACCCCAGGCTGCACCTAAAGTCCAGAGTGGGGGCATACCTTTCCCCTGATGGGCTGCAGGAAGAAACTGAACAAAGTATCAGACACTCACCATGTGGCTCCATTATTAGCTGCATCCTCAGAGTGAAGTTGAGAATTTGACTTAAATTCAAGTGTATCATATTCCAAAAACAATATAATTCTGTGCTCCTCTAGCTTTGTCCTCCCCCATGCAGCATGAGGCACATATCAATGGCAGGTAGTTATCCAATGCCAGATTTTGAATGCTGGTCACTACAGTTTAGGATAATGTTTCTTAATGTTCTAAAATCCATGTCTTCTTTTTTTAAAAAAATACCTTTATTGAAATATAATCTCATCTTTGGTTGGCTGTTCTCTCCTTCTATCACCACTTCTTTTCCTGGGCAAGATTCACTGATACAATTTGTATCTTTTTCAACTAAAAAGATACAATTGATCTTTTTAAACCAAAAAATGTGTGATCGTAAACATGATAAAGACACATGGTTTAAAATTTCTCAGACATCAGAGAAGGTCATACAATGAAAGCAAAGACTCCTTCCACTGTCACTGACCATCCCAGTCTCCATGACCTCAATTTCCCATTCATGTAACCACTCTTCAATTTCTGTCTAGATTGTTTGTATGTATATCATACACATGTGTGACATAATTTCCCTACTATTAATACAATAGGATTATAACATAGGTACATTCTGCATCCACCTGAATGGTGCTTTGATTATCAATGGTGTTGGATTAAGTAGATGTATGTATTGCATTACTTCTTGGTTAGTCACATACTATTTCATTTGGTCCTCAGCAATTTGAAAATCCCTACTGTTCATGTAAGAAAAGAAAGGCCTTGGGGCAATAGGTGATTTTTAAAGCTTTCAAGAGCTGGTTATACACAGAACTAGAATTTGACTCCGGGACTTTTTAATTAATTTGTCCTGATCTTTCAATGACAGTAAGTCCCATTTATAACACTGATATACTCAGTTGTCTCTGGACTAAGCCAGTTTGGCCTCCTGTCAGGGTCTTTGTGCTGAATGGCCATAATGGCCTTCAAAGATTAAATGTGGATGAGGACTATTGGTCCTTCTCCCCACAATCTCACCACTGAGCAGTATGGCCCAATAAACACAAGGCTCAAACCCAAATCTGCCACACTGAAATGTTTATTTCCAAGGAGGCATGAGAATAGTTGCTCTGTAAACTCAGTGAAATGCCAGGTTTGTCTTCTATATTTCAGTAAGCTGTGTATTTCAAAAAACACATGACAAAATGGTTCAGTATGAAATAAAGTTCTGAAGGGAGGATTCAGCTCATGGAGTCAGAAAGCAGAATCTTCCTTGGTCAATAGTGTAGACACAGTGCACAACAGTGTTGTGGAACCAGTGTTGCAGTCTTAACCTTTGTGTCCACCCACACTTCACATGCTGAAATCCTAACCTGCACTGTGATAGTATTAAGAGGTGAGGCTCTGGGGAGGTGATTAACTTATCAGGGTGGATCCTTCATGAATGGTACTAGAGCCCTTATAAAAGAGACCTTACAGGGCCCCCCTGCATCCTGGGAAGCAGGCTCTCACCTGGCACTGAAGCTGCCAGTGCCTTCATATTGGACTTCTAGTCTCCAGATCTGTGAGAAAGGTCCACTTAGTTTAGGTTTTTCTGTTGTTGTACAGACTCAATGGACTAGGGGCCAAGAACCCACTCCATTTGGGTGAGGGTACTGGCTTCCTTGCTTTCATTCTTACTCTAGGCAGAGCTGGAGCTACTTATACAAAATGTCTCACTAATCCGTATATTTTGGACAAAACTGGATTCACCATGAATAATTATCTCTAATAATGCTTGAGCTCCAGGTGCAGATTTCGTTGGGTGACACTTGGAACAATGGTCTCCAAAGTTTGGAACTCCTTCATGCTAACTAACCAGCCTGGGGATTTGAACTACTGACTGTGGTATTCAAATGATAACTAACTACTCCTAAGGTTTAAAGTTGATGTATGCATGCACGCATACTTACACACACATGCCTCTGCCTAACACAAAGAAATTCTAAACAAATTATAGATGACACAGCACCTGTAATCAGTTGCCCAAGAAAATACTTCTTTCCCTATGCCCTTTTTTCTGCTCTGCTGGAAGGCAGCAAACACAATGATAAGGATCATGAACTCTTGCCTCACTTGACCCGAGTCCTAATGGAGTCTCTGACTTCTTATTATGTAACCATAAGCAAATTATTACTTAACCTCTCCAAGCCTCACTTTCCTCATTTGTACAGTGAGGATAATGAAAATTAAGATGGTAAAACATGAAAATGCTTAGCACATTAGTACAATCACAAATACTTCATCATCTACGTTCTATGGCTGGCATTGGAAGACCCATTGACCAAAGGGATGGGGCTCTCTCTCCACAATGAGCCTGCACTCTCACATGGAGGGTCAGATTTAATTGATGGTTAATGTGTACCAAGCACAGTGTTGAGCACTTTGCACCCATGATAATATTTTATTTTAAGCCACCTGTGAGGTGAATGTTCTTTTAGAGAAGAGGAATCTCCAGATCAGAAAGCTCAGCACCTTATCCAAGCTGGATCCAAACCCAGGCAGCTTGACCCCCAGACCCTGCATGCGCACTTGTACCACACCTCCTGACCTCTCAGCTTTGGGAGCACTTCGCTCTTCACCTCTCCTTCTAAGCCCTCACAGCAGTAGCATTAAATTCCTCCTCTGCTTGCACTCTTTAAAGATCAATTACCCTTTTCCCTTCCCCCTACTCTGCTCATCTTGTTACCTATGCTATTTATTTCTTTTCCTTCACTGCTCTGGATTTCTCTTGACGCAAATACTGGTATTCACAAATCCACCCAGTCCACAAATTGAACCGCGCCCCGCTCCCCCTCAGCATTCTGAGACAGGGCAGGAAGGCAGGAGATAAGATCCCGTGCCCCAAATCTTGGAAAAGGGGGAGTTTGAGCTCTTCGCTTCGATTATCTTCGTGTGTTACTCCTCTCAGTGTCTCGGGATCAACCTTGGTCTCATCTCGCGTCCTGCCTTCCGGAAACGCCAAGTTCGAGGCTGTGAACTGCAGCTCCCCGCGCTCCCACGCCCCCCGAGTTTCGCGGGCAGTCGGTCGGTGCGGCTGCGGTAGAATCCCGCCGCCCTGGGCGGCGAACTGCCTCTGGTGCCCCATCCACGGGTGCGTTCCCTCCCGCCAAAGCCGTCACGAGAACACCGTGCCTTAGCCCCGGGCTCGGGCTTCCTCTGTACGTGAAGCCCGGAAGAAAAAAAGGAATCCCGCGTAAATGTTTCCTTGAACCTCGAGCGTGAAGATGGCCTTGCACGGGGGCTGCGGGGCGGGGAGACCCGGACCTCAGCCTCGGCGCCCGGGCGGCGCACCTGCCAGGAGGTGCGGGAGGGAGGAGCGGGCGCCCCGGGGGGCGGGGCCGGGGGCCCGCCGGCCACGCCCCCGGGTGCTCCCCGCGGCTGGGCGCCTCTGGGGGAGAGACCATGGGGAAACTGGTGGCGCTGACGCTGCTCGGGGCCGCGCTGGCCCTCCTCGGGGAGAGGTTTGTGGCATTTAGGTAAGTGATAGGGGCGCCTTGGCTCGCTCTCCTCTTCCAAGTGAAGTCAAGGGTCGCCGCCTGCTGCCTTCCCAGCAGGTAGGACTGAGCAGTTTGGAAACTCACTCGTGAGTTCCACCCAGCAAATTCCTTTGGAGGCACTGATGTGGAAAGTGAGTCCTTTGCCTTTCCTAAGATGGCAGGGCAGAAATGCCCCCCATTTATTGTCTGAAGGTTATGCCCTTTTCCAGGTCGTCCTCAACTACCAGCCGGAGCTTTATGACAGACTCAGAGTGCCCAGGGATAAATATAGATGAGTACTGGGTTACAGAGCTCATCCACATTAAAAGAGCTAGTCAGAGAGCAGGGAAATGAGCTGAAATCTGCAGGTGGTACCTGGCATTTGTAGGTATCCGACCTTTTGAAGTGGAATATCTCGTGATGATAACCATCCCAGAAATTTCTCAGGAAAAGTCAATACTGAGCTAGAAAGAAGAGATATTAGCTGATGATATATGCACTTCTGAGAGGATCGAAAGCCCTGCTTGCCTTCAGTTGAACTTGGGCTGTTTTTTCTTTCTTTCTCTAAGTAGAAGCAGGTCTCCTCAGAAGTTCTCCTCTTGAGTCTACTGAGGAGCCTGCTGCCGTTTGGTAATACTTTCTAGTTCCACGTGAGAGTGTTTATTTTCACACTTGCTCCCAGGGCACCCAAGTGGGAGAATCATAGAAAATAATTATGAAGTAGGTCAAGGGCACACTTTTTAAAAGTGACAGTAAGATGAGTCTAAGTGTAGAGTCTTCATGAATACAATTTAATAAAAAAATTAAAATTATCCTGGTATTTAGAAGAATGTTTCAATGTGGAAACAAGGACACTGTATGGAAAAGTAACTTGACCACTTGTTTCAATTGTGGTTAATAAATTTACATATGTGGTCCACATTCAATCATAAAAAAAAAATAAAGTTAAAGCAAAAGCTGCAAGGCTCATCTATAAGCTATTAGTTGAATATTAGGAAGGTTGAGGGGGTTGAGGGGACAAAAGGCAAGACTATTGGGGAGCCAAAGAGCAGATTTATAATAGACAGTACTTTAGCAAATTAAATAACATTATTTTGTACATTTAAATTACTCATACTGTTATGTAGTATCATTTATTTGGGCAGCAGATGTGATCCATGTATGGTTGTGTTTTAGTCTTTCAACTGTAACTGGCTGAAGTTAGCTGGTATAGGGACATTGTCCACATAATGTCCACATACATAAATAAATGTCAGTGAGAGTAGGAGGTGCCTACTTACTTGTTATATCATCCATAAATGATAGGATACAGAGTTAATGAATCTAAGGGTGATTAAAGACCATGCTTAGATGTTGCCTTTGGATACTGTGCATTGACCTCCAGTGTTCTTCTCTTTGCAGACAAAGAACTAATGCATCTCGAGAAGTGGAGCCAGTAGAACCCCAGCATTGCCACCTTATTGAGGGACTTGGTATGTATGTGACAGCACAATTTCTTGGTCACCATCCACATAAATGACAGGTTGGCATCAGCCTCCTCTGTGCTCCCCACCCAGGGCTGGTCTCACTTATTTGTTACTGCATGACTGCTTATTTGGTCTCCAAGCTTCTACTTCTCCCTGACATTGCTACTGGAAGAAACTCCAGCTAGTTTCTGTTCACTGTTCTGGGAATGCGTTCTTTCACTTTCTCTACTTTGCTCCTGAACTTTTGCTCAACTGATTCTTCATGTCCATTTGGTGAATCAGCTGAAATTCCTCTCCCACCTCTGAATTCTCACAGCACTCTGAGACTCTGATTCACTTATGACACCTACCACCTGCTTTATTTTATAGTTAACAGTGTTGTCTCACTATCAGATTGTAAACTCCCTAGGCTTAAGGACTGTGACTTATTCATCAGTATGTGACAGGATGACAGCATAGTTTATTGTGATAGGAGTTTGTATT